AAGCAGATTTCCTAATGTTAATTTGGCAGCTTATTAGAGCGCTGTATGCTTGCACAATTACGGGTTTTAATTTGAAGAACTTGCATTTCTGTTAATGATCTGAAATACTTGTTACCTAGTCAAATGAGATCATCTCGGTCACGTTCCTGCAGGCGTTTCTGCTGTTAACCTTGTTGGAAGGCCGTGAAGAAATCAAATTGTGGACTTGACTATGGAGCGAACTAAATAACAGGTTAAAAGAAAAAAAAGTTTTTCTAAGCCAAACATGAAGCTAACTTGTAAAAAGGAACTACAGAACAATAATTTAAAGCCCATCTCTAGGTAAATAAAAACAGAAAACTACCCCAAGGTTATCTGCATACAGCAAGGCTTACCTGCAATTTTTGTCTAGGTAACCTGTGTGAAGGACTTTACTTACCTGATCCCTGCTCTTGATGGCTCAAGACTGTGGAACCAGCTGCCTTGCCCCTTCTCTCCAGTGGTCAGAGACCCACTGACGTCATACGTACAATGCAGGGCTCATAGCCCTGCATTATATGGGAGGACACCGAAGGACCATACACAAGCCGGAATGTAGGGGAGAGGTGAGCGTAGACTGCTGGGGGGATCAGGTAAGTAAAAATCCTTTTACACAGATACCCCTAGACAAAAATGAACAGGTAATACTTGCAGTGGGTATCTATTTTCCCCCGGAGATATGCTTTAAGATTTAGAGCAATAAAGGATATTAAAAATAAAGGCTGCAGGGGGAAGACTTTTGGCACCCATGACCCATCTATTTACTGGCTAATCTATTCAAATCCAAGGCCGAACTTGGAACATGCCAGTGTGATAGCAGAATGTGCTTTGAAGAGATTGGACTCCAGACCATAGCACAGAGGTGGGCAGCCTCAGTAGCTGTGGTGAACCTACAAATTCCATGAGGCATTGCAAGACTGACAGCCACAGGCATAACTCCCAGAGGCATGATGGGGATTTGTAGTTTCACAACAGCTGGAGTGTTTAGGTTGCCCTCCCCTGCCATAGCGTATCTTTCGTTATCTAAAAGTGCACTGTTCATAAAAGGTGACCTGCTGTTGCTGACCTCTTTCTGAAAATGTTAATTGCCTGGCTATTTTGCCTAAAGACTTTTTAGTCTCTGACTTTAAGATAATGGCAAATCAGTTTCCGAGAATTCAAAAGCATCAGCATGATAGCAGGCATTTAGCATTTTTAGAAGCATAAGACCCTTCATAGTTCTGTCACACAGTACATGTGATGTGCCTGAAGTCATTTATTTTTGGATAACGTACGGGATTATTAAAGCCTCTGTCATTTTTTTTTTTTAAATCTGGGCACATGTTCACCTTAAGGTGCCTACGGAGATTGCCCTGTTTGGCCTTTAAGGACCCATTCACATAGCATTGCGCTAAAGGCATGATATCCGTGTGCTTGGCGAACTCTATTGAAGAGCACAATGCAACATACAGTACCGCAATAGCGTGCGATGTGGTAAAATAACGTAGCGGATGATTTTGTGATTAGGTAATTTCTGAGATCATTCAGAAATCGTTGGACAGGCCCATTTGAATTGTAGTTGACCTCCTTCTGACCTGCATTTGACCTGCTTCAGGTTGCTTTTGCATCGCCATGGACTTGCATGGCAAAAAGGAAGAAAAGCTGTTCTGACATAACAAAAGCCCATGCACATAGGCCCTAAATTGATTTTGGGACCTAAACCAAGCATTACATGACATGGTCTTCAGTTGGCCAGCACTGGGGAGGCTGACATTGGTAGTCTTCTTTCACTTTGTTGATGACAATACTTCAGTACAAAACTGTTGCAGCGTTTGGTCACATGACCTGGAACTGCAGCGCTGCAAGATGATCATGTATACCATAAAGTGTGTGCACACTTTATACCCCCATTCACCCTATTACCATTGTACCTGTTTAAAGAAGGCCTAACCAGGGGTAGGCCAACAATGGCCTTTCAGCTGTGGTGCAACTGCAAATCCCATTAGGCATTGCAAGCCACAGGCATGACTTCCGGAGACAGATGCATGGTGGGAGTTGTAGTTTTACCACAGCTGGAGAGCTGGGGTTTGCCTACCCCTGGCCTAAACTCTCTGAGTTTAGTAGCATTTAACATAATGTGAGATGTTTAGCTCATTAGTTTGTTTGGCTTTTGATTATTTAGCTGTTGATTCACATCCATCTACTTTTTATTTGCTTCTTATGGGTTATGAATTGCCCTTTCTAAGTTCTGCTTGCCACGCTGAGTTCTGGCTGTATATCCCGCCTTATTATGAGCATCTTGGGCATTGCTGTAGAAAATCTTTGGTGGCCAGTAAATGATCTCTCTTTCGTTCGTTCTCCTGCGTTCTTGCTGCCAACTCTCTCGACTCCAAATTCTTCCTGTCCGCCTTCTGATTCATTGGCACACATGGCTGTTATAATGATTTAGACCAGGCTTTGCCCATACTTGTTTTTAAAGAGACTGTTTGTTATGTGGCACACTAGATATTTATTTGAAAGATGTATAGATTACATTGTAGTTGAGATGACAGAAGTATTATTCACCAGGAACCTCTACAGCGACGATAATTTGCTTTCGTATAAATTTACATGATAAATATGGCCCTTGGTGTCTTAAGAGAACCATTACAGTGCAAACATCATTTACAGTCATTTGTAACTGTAGTGTATTGACCAGATCTACACGGAGACCATAGGCAGTATGATGCTGAGGAATGAGAGCCAAGCTGCGCAGAACTGGGAGAACAGGTTGAACTCATGACTCCTCAGGGTAGAGATGCTATCTTCTGTTATGGAAGAATCCTTTAAGACCCAAGGCTGTATACAACTGGAATAAAGCTGAAAGCCCAGAAATTGGTTTTAAAAGACTTTTTATTGCATGGAATAAATGACTTGTAAAGCAGAACTCTAGACACAAATTTTATTCTAAAATAAACTGGTCACAAAACTTGGCAAATGAAGCAAAATTACATAAAGAGATGTTCAAAACAATTGGTGGGCAGCTAAAGTTGTATAATATTGTGACCTTTTTTTTTGGTTCCATCCATTGTATTAATGGGCCAATAGGAAGGTTAGGAAGATAGAGGTTGGCGAGCTAGACAAGTCAACATTTGGATATAAATTCAGCAGCTTGTATCTCTGGGATTTCTGTTCACCTTTTTAGATGTGGCTATCTACGTTTTTATGGATTATATTTTTCCCTATGAGCTAAAGAATTTCCCAGGTCCGTAACCATTACCTAAAGCGGGGGTAGCCAAACTCCGGCCCTCCAGCTGTGGTGGAACTACAAATCCCATGAGGTATTGCAAGATTCTCACAGCCACAGACATGACTCCCGGAGAGAGATGCATCATGGCATTTGTAGTTTCACCACAGCTGGAGGGCAGGAGTTTGGCTAACCCTGACCTAAAGTGTCACTTAATTATGTGTGTTTGGATGTGGTTGTACAAAGAATAAATAAAATTGCCTATATTTCTGGTCCAGAACCAAGTTATGAAACCTACCTTTAGATAATGTGTAAAGGAGTGTTACCCTAAAGCAAACTAATCCTCACACAGTGAAGTTTGATCCACAATTACCTTCAGCTTTTTGTACTTTTTAATTTTCAGGGTGTTGGTGTTTTTTTTTAATTCATGCTCTGATCTGTGTTTTGAGAGCTCTGGCTAGGAAAGGCAACACATGTCATCACAGGCCTGTATGTGGGAATCCGGTGTACAGACCCAGGAACTAAAGTGCTGAAATATCATTAACAGAGTCTGAGAAAGCTTTGATATCATGTTATAATTACCGTGGGAAGGGTGAGGACCTCAAAGGTTTATTGCTGTCTATTTCCCAAATGGGGCCTGCGCTTTCTGTCCTCAAATAGTAGGAAGTAGAAAGCTACCATAAATAAGGGGAAATCCTATCTGTAGTTACTGGAACGTGTATTCACCCTGGGGATTTCCCCTATTCCTGTTCTTGTGTAAGCTGTAACATGTTCCTGTCACTTTGTGTTCACATTACGAATTGTTCTGGGGACCATTGTCAAGGAGAGAGAGACACATAATAATAATTAAAAAAACAATTGGAGGTTCTAACCCTTCTCTTCCGTTTCAAAAACTAGAACTCTTGGGCTGTAGTTCCAGTTGCATACACTGGGCAGCACAGTGGTATAGTGGTTAGCGCTTCTGCCCTGCAGCACGAGGGGTCCCTGGTTCAAATCCTGGCCAGGTCACTATCTGCAAGGAGTTCTCCCTGTGCTTGTGTGGGTTTCCTCCCAGGTACTCAAATGTCCTCCCTCACTCCAAAGACATGCTGGCTGGTTAATTGGCTCCTGTATATTTGCATGCGAGTTAGGGACCTTTGATTGTAACCTCCTTGAGGGCAGGGACTGATGAATGTTCTCTGATTTTAACGCATACTGTTGACAGGGCTACTTGTTTGGTTGCAGGCTGGCTGGCAGGTTGGGGCTGGGGAATTTTTGTGTTTTGTACTGATGAATGTGCACTATGTAAAGCGCTGCGTAAATTGTTGGCGGTAAATAAATACCTATAATAAAAATAAATAGGTCCTATATAACCTATAAATCCTAGGTTTTTCTGTAGAGTGGGGAAGCATTAGAATCCCTGTTGGGTTTTTACTGCTATCCAGGGCTCTGTTAGAGGGATTTCTCCTCATTTCATGTCCTGCTGACGTTTTTCCAGACAGGAAGGAAGGGGATTTTCCCAAACATCTTGTCTTGAATTGTATTATAACTGCACTGTCTTCGTTTATATTGTAAAGCTCTGTGCAAACTGTTGGTGCTATATAAATCCTGAATAATAATAATTAAAATTATACAGGATTTATAAATATATCAATCTTGTATAATAAAAATAATAGAAAAGTTTTTGACTCCTTTTTTTTTTTTTTTTATAGTTGTAAACCACTTTAAATACATGTCCTGCTTCCTAACTAATTCCATAGACTTTAGTAGTAATTTAGTTCCTCTGTTTCACTTTCAGGGTGGTACAGTGCTCGCTATTACTCTCGGACAGCCGACTCCACCTTTTCCTACAAACTCAGCTCACTCTGGAAGAAATAGAAGCCTGTGCATCCGGACAGACCGAATACTCGGTGGCTGAAGCCATCCACAAATTTGCCAAATCAAACCGGCGGTTTCCTGAGGAGGAGGAAGAACAAACAAGTTGTAACTTGGCTCCTGAGAGGTACTTTCATGTGTGGTAGCCGCGCTTATTTTCTGTTGTTGGTATAATACTTCGATAATGAAAAAATTAATTGACTGAGATTTTATTGAGCTGTGACAGGCTTCTCATAAGAGCCCTCGCACACCTCCACACTGAATTAATGGATGCAGTAGAAATTCAATTATCTGCATTCTGATTATGTGAATTTCATTTAGTCAGACTTGAATTATTCGCGTTTAAATTATCTGGTTTAAAAAAAAAAAAAAATCTAACCACACTCCAAATGGCTAATTAAAAGTTAAATTTCCTGTCTCTCTTTCTGACTGGAGATAATTAAAGTTCTCCTCTGCTACTCAGGCTTTGAGTGTGTTGTGAAAACCAATTTCCTTCTCACCATCCCCCTACTCATCCCCTCCTTTGCTGCGCACCCTCCCTACTTCTCTGATCCTGATTATACCACCCCCAACTAAAGGCAATCGAGGTTGTGTGTTGTTTTTAAGATACAAAGGTGAGAGTGGTCACATTTTCTCCACATGTGCTTATTTACAGTGTTCAGAATGTAATTTATACAAGATCGGTGCCAACCATTTTTTCTCTTTTCATCCACATGCTGTGCATTCTGCTTAGTAATGCAGCACAGCGGTTATTTTTTACTGCTCCTCTTATCTTAGTAGAAGTCTGTGGATAGAATTATCAGTAGGCTCATTAAACGCAATGTGCTGTCTAGGTTGTTAATAGGTGTAGCAGTCGTTGGACAAGGATAACCTATGAATTGTCAGATAAGGGGTGAACTTACAAATCACTGAAACATTTTTCCTGTCAAACATGCTCAGAAAATACATATTTTCTATTTTAACACATTTTTTGCATTCCTATCCCAACAGTTCCTCCGTGCTCGGACACCCAAATGGCGCCTGTTTTCCACGAGGCTGCAAACCCAGCAGAGAACCTAGAGACACCTGGACTACTGTCTTGGCTCCATCACCTTCAAAGTAGACTTCTGTTCCCCTGCCGTACAGACCCCGAAGTGCAATTTTTTTTTGGGTTTACTGCCGAAATGTTATAGTTGTAATTACAAGGTAACATAAGGAGGCTTCTAGCGAAGGCAGTGCATAGAAGGATCCTTGCAGAAACCCAGACTTCATCTGCCATAGGGTACAGAATGACCATTTCTACTTTCATCTTTGCCTTATGTTGAAGCACATACAGTATTACTCCAAAATGCCTTTAAAGGGAACCAAAGTTTGAAATGTGCAAACCAATCGGAGAGCACAAAGAAAAGAGAAGATGATATATTGGCTATGCAGAACACTGTATTGAGATGTTGATATTTAACTGGCGTAAAGTTTTAACATTGTACCGGAAGAAGGATCAGATATGTTACCTTTCATTTCACTGACAGAACCAATGTATATTTTATTTAAGCAATGTAGGATTATATTAGAAAAAACAAAGGTTGATATTTTCCAATGAAATAGATGTAGACAGCTTGTACATGACGTTTATTTCAACTTTAGGATTTCTTTAAAATTTAGACATCGCTAATTTAATTACAGCACATATTTATTTAATATTGATAGTGAATCCAGCACACACTGGCACACTTTATTAAGACCCACGACACTGTGCTTTTATAGTAACCTTTCGCAACATCTTTTACCTTTTTGGGAGAAGAGATAACAATAAAAGTTGATGTCTGTAGATTACTGCTTACCTGCTTTAATAAACAAGGAGTCTTGGTTGTCGTCAAAGTAAAGCTTGTCTGCAAAACCACAAAAAAACTCATTATCTTTTATATTTTCAGCTTGTATAGTGGAAGCAATTTATCTGTTCATCAACATTCCATATTATCCATCCATAATTCAGACTTCCCAGTAACACTGTACGCACTTTATGCCTGGTCAGGATAGCTGACTACAATGTGAAACACTGTGTGAGATGCTGGCTATACTTTATTATTTCTGTATGAACTGTTCTGACCCTTTTGGTGTTTTTGCTTTGCATTTACAGTGTATATTTTACGTTTGATTTGTTTTTGGGTTTGTTTTTTTACATTGTACATTTCTGTTGAATCTGTGTACCTCAATAAAGACTGTTGAAATGATGTTTGTGATGGTATGCTTTTCTCAGGATTCAATGTATCCTTGCAGTTTATTGATTCAGCTTATCTGTGGGTAATGTTAGCCATCCCTGTTCTATGAAAAATCCTCAAATTTCCCCATTAGAGCTAAACAGTGTGGATGGAGGAATCGCCACCGCCAGCTGTTGTATTCTACAGCCACTGCTCCTGCAGCTGATTAATACCCCAAATGTGACTGCATCTGGTTGGATGCAGGCACTGTTCTGCTGATAATCCACCCTGCTTCTCTGACAAGTCATTTTTTTCAACCGACAGCTACCCACAGCTCAAATTCTGTCTGTTTCAGCAAGAAACAGACAACATTTGATAACTCTGGACTGCTTTTAACCCTTGCAGTGGTACTACCCCCGCACTGCAAGGGTTAACTGCTCATTTTTGTCTAGGTGCTAAAAAAGAAAGTTACTCGCCTGAACCATGCAGCTGGTTTGTTCTTGAACCGGTCCTTCCAGTCTCTCACCCACCACTGCACCGGTCTAAGGTCCCATAAATCATCACATTCTATACACGGGAGAATTTATCAAAACTGGAGCAGCTGTGCATGGCAACCAATCAGCTTCTTTTTCATTTTCAAATCTTAACTGAACAAATTGAAGAGAGAAGCTGATTGGTTGTCGTGCTCGGCTGCTCCAGTTTTGATAAATACCCCTCAATGTGTATAGATGTGAGGACACTGAGGAACCTTTCAGTGCTGAAGCGTAGTAGGAGACTGGCTTCAGCCGGTAGTTCGGGTGAGTAACTTTTTTTTTGAGCCCCTTGACAAAAAGAAGCACTTAACCCTTGCAGCGCGGGGGTAGCCCGACTGCAAGGTTGATCAAAGTTGTGCACTGAGTTCTTCTTTAAGCTGTGGGGACCTGTCTTAAGGTGCCCATACACCTTATGATTATCACACGATTTTCGTATGCGATCGTGTTTTCTTACGATAATCGCACAGTTGATGGGAAGTGCGCAACCGCAAATACTGTACAACCGTTTGACTTTTGTCTTTCCGGCAGGCTAGAAAACTTGTATCGAATTGTATTAAAATCGATGGATTAGTGGCGTTTTTGTACAAAAAAAATCGCAACAAGAAAAATTCAGTTCGGTAAATCGAGGAAATTCGGCAAGGTGATCTTGCTAAAGGTGGCCATACACTTTACAACCATCGCAAGACTTGCGATGGTTGTAAAGTGATTAAAGAAACGTACGATCTGCCAATCTTATACAGGCAGATCGTACTTGCGATCATCGCAAGCCCGCCCCGCTGAGGGGCGGGCTTCCGACAAGCGCAATGCTAACGGCCAGTGTGCACGTGCGCACACCGGCCCGCGCGGCATTCATCTTACGATCATGCTAAAAACCAGCCGAAAATCGTACGATTCTCGGCTGTTTTTCTAGCATGCTCCTTAGACAAAGACGTGCGACCGTACAGTAGAAACGGTCGCACGTCTTCATTCACACTGCACGATTCTCGTACGATCGCGGGATTTCCCACGATTCTCGTACGAGAATCGTGCAGTGTATGGGCACCTTAACAAACACTGACTGAAACCCACAAGGGTCACAGACCCAGACCCACAATGGTCTGTGTACGAAAATCGAACAACTCTTCTAGCAACGTACGAACATTGTGCGATAATCGTAAGGTGTATGGGCACCTTTTTAAGCTAGCCATAGACTCGTAGATTTCTCTTCTTCAGCCCACAGGCTGAATGAGAGAACTCAAATAGGTTCCTCCATCTACTCTAAACAGTGTGGCTGGAGGAAGCTCTCCTGCCGGCTTGTTGTATTTAGACAGCCGTCACCTGTGGTTGTTTGAGTAAATCCAATTGGATGCAGTCACTGCTTAGACAATATTTTTTCACTCAGTTCCTTAGATTGAAAAACAAAAGTTTGTTGAAGCGGGGGTGCCAACAGGGCCATCCACAGCCCAAATTTTAACTTATCTTAGTTTTATTAAAGATGGATATAGATCTACATGATATCTCTCTCTCTTACACTACATAGTTGTTGGTAGATCTAAAAAAGAATGAATATTCAAATTGGAATGTCAGTGGTGAGCTTTATAGCAGCCTCTAAGATCAGACTTGGGAATGAGAATCCAGCTGGTTTTATGGGGGGCTGTACACGCCATATGAGAACACCCCCCACCCTCTCACAGGTTTTGTATGACATCCTTTGTGATGGGCTGAGAATAAAAGGAACGCTACTACATACACCACCATCCGAAACTGGATTGTGATTGTAGCCTCAATTTACTGGGTTTAATGCTACTACATTTTAGATTGAATTACGTTTAAATGAAGTAAAAAGAAATTGGAATTTTACCTGCACATAATTTAGTAAAACAACCCCAGTGATTGCAAAAACAGTGTATGTGTGTGTGCTTTTTTAAATTTTTTAATTTGAAATTGTGTGTGTGTGTGTATATCTATATGTGTGTACCATCCTGAAAGTGCAACAGGAAGCAATTACTTCTGCAGGCCGTGGAATTGGTTAGGAAGCAGGATAATAAAGCCCACACATGACACGTATTTAAAGTAGTTTACAACTTAAGTGTCAAAAGCTTTATTATTCTAAAGGACTGATACATTTATAAATCCTGTAGGATTAAAATAAATTATATATGTGTGTTTCTTAATCTCTCACTGTATAGAAAACATAGAATCCTCTTTGCTGATCCCTGCTTCATAACTATCTGCCAGGTTTGTAGACTGGCCCAATTGCACAACATCCAGCAAAAGTGAAATGGAACAAGTTCTTCAAAATAACAGTGTGCGTATTCACTTCAATGATCCAATCATGTGAAAAGCAAATTCCTGTTTACTTTAATTATACACTCATGTGAAAAGCATTGGCATATGGTCGGGTATTCAAAGTGAATATTTGCACAGTGAGGCTGATTGACTAAAGCAATTGAGACTGTTTATGCAACAAATTGTCTGTCTGAATATTACTTTCAACTAGCCAATCAAAGGAAAAGCAAATCCCAGTTTACTTATTTTGGCTTGATTCGCACTGTGTGTGATTTAGATGCTTTTAAAAAGTTTTTGTAAACCTATATATATATATATATATATATACATAAA